TAAATGAATGTGTAAAGAATAGTGTTGGATGGAAAATAATATGATTACCATTCTGGAAAACATTATTTGTTTAGGTAATCCATGTGCGAGTAAATAATATGGTTAGTTTAGTAGAAAATGTGAAAATTTAAATTTTTTTGTTATTTTCCGTTGCGTTATCCCACGGGGACGGTTTAAACACCTATTATGTTTTGGTTGACGTTTTTGATTAAACTGATTTTCGTGTATTTAATATGCAAGGACTTGTATAATAACACTTGATAAGATTTTAAAAGCAAAATTGTTTAAAAGAATGATTTCAATGTGTATTATACGTAAAAGGTGTCGGTTAACGATTTCGACTATATTGCTATAAGTAAATGCAATAAATGAATGCAACTTAATTTAGGTCCCTTTAATCAAGCAAAGGTATCGAAGTAAACGCACTTATTGTGATTTCCAGTGTTACATAATGAGTTTTAAATAAATCCTTCATTTTTGTACGTTCCATAATGCTTATCTACCTCTACAGAAACTATTTCTTGCTATAAACACATTATCATCAAAAATGTAAATCTAAGCTTGATCAAATGAAAGCAACCGTTTACAGAACGAGTTAAGACCGTTTTGCCCATGTTGCTGCGATGATGGAGTTGTGAAGATGGGTGTAATTTGTCTACAGTAATGTGGATCCATCTTGGAAATGTAACCTGGTAATGGGAGAATGACCGTGTCTCGCTGGAATGATGGTAAATCCACCAAGCCTGACCAGCCTAGTAATAGCGAACCTCTAGCGTATGTCCTTACTTTAACGTGAACCTTAACCTTTTTGGCAGGTTTCGATATTCCTCACTTAATTCGTGTAAATATGTTTGTTGTTGTAAGAATGGTTCACTTTTAAGGGGAACGTGTAAGGGTTTTTATTAATGTTTACTTACATTTTGTATAATCAGTTATTGGTAATTTTCGTCCCGTTATTTTTTTATTTCACTTTTAAGGGGAACGTGTAAGGGGTTTTATTAATGTTAATGTACTTACATTTTGTATAGCCAGTTATTGGTTATTTTCGTCCCCTTATTTTTTTATTTCACTTTTAAGGGGAACGTGTAAGGGTTTTTATTAATGTTAATGTACTTACATTTTGTATAACCAGTTATTGGTAATTTTCGTCCCGTTATTTTTATAAATATATGGTTATGACACGTTAATAAGGACATCTTTATGAATGGCGCTTTATTCAGCTAAACGTAAAGTAGGTTACGAAAAATCTGAAAATCTTAAAAAGGAAGAAACATAAAGATAATATTTGATAAGGTATTATATGTGGATAACGTAGTAGTACTTTAGAAATTATAAAATATACTAGCTGACCCGGCGAACTTCGTATCGCCTAAGTTATAGGTTTCCCCTAAGACAGACCGATGGAAAGAAAGTACCGTTACGTTTAATTTTCAAGATGATCTCGTTCGCATCGCTCAATCACGTCCTGGTTGAAGTTCGTTCGCTACGCTCACTCACCTTTGGGTTGGAGCTCGTTCGCTACGCTCACTCACCTTTAGGTTGGAGCTCGTTCGCTGCGCTCACTTGCCTTCAGGTTAGCTCGTTCGCTACGCTCACTCGCCTCCAGGTTGAAGTTCGTTCGCTACGCTCACTCACCTTTTGGTTGCAAATTAGCTGTTGTCATAAATGTAAAAGAAATAATAGTGCTGCACCCTGTTGGTAATCCTTGTAACTTTAACGCTATTGAACATCATAGAACAGAACCAACTTGTTTCATTGAAACAGCTGTTAAGATTCATTAATTCCATTTTTCATAAGGTTAACATGGGAAACTCCAGAGCCACTGGGGTGGAGCCCTTTTAAGAATTTCGAAACGGGAAATAGTTTACGTCCGATTCGCATACCTACAGAATTTACACACCAAATTTCATAACGATCGGTGAAGTCGTTCGGGAGGAGTTTGCAGACAAACACTGTGACACGAGAATTTTATATAAAATATATATATATATTAAAAATCTATAATATTATATTGAATTTGCTACAATGGTCATAAGGTAGAAGGACTATACGGATAGATGTGTCGAATAGTAAAAAAAATTAGTTCGTCAATTTAACTATTTTATATAGTTCCTAAATTACAGACAAATATCTACTGTAATATCAAGTGCTATTTAACAGGTGATGTTTTGTCAGTCGTGTTATGTTGAAGACCTTTGGCGAATACCGACGTGTCTGTGAAGAATCCAGGTACAAAGCTCAGTGAGAGAGTCTTGTCAAAAGTGTTTTAACAGAAAATACAAGTCGTTTCACAACACTACACTGATTGATTATTGTAACTGGATTGAAAATCATAAATGTGATTATTTTGCTTTTAAATTACACCTTCCCTTCACTATGCATAAATTATTTCCCTAAACTAGAAATAAGTCCACTCAGCTTACAACAAACTGGTTGATTTTTACTCGTCCTATGATAAAGAAGATACTTCGGTGGTTATTTATGTTGTACTAGTTAACCCATGTGTGGGTGAAGGTTATAAACCTTTGCAAGTAAACAATGTGTTTCGCGAAATACAATGCCAACAATACTTTGCGGACCGTTCTACCCGGGGGATTTCACCGACAAAAGCAAGTTTTTCATTTCACAAGGCCCATTATTTTGTGCAAGTTTGCTCTCCAACCAGTGTTTAACAGAGTAACTGAGCTTCCGAAAGCGCGTGTTTATTTTTATACCTTAAGTCTTTTTATAATATTTTATTTGAGACAGGTCTTACTCAGATTGTATTATTGATTTCTGGTTAATAATTTGGTGCAGTAATAACTTTGGTACTAAGTGAGATGATGATAAACATGCTTTCTAAAACAAATTTATCTTAAAATCCTACCTATCCAAACGTAGCTTAAATAGTTACTAAGATATATAAAAATATATTACAGTATTAGCTCATTTAATTATTGGATCATAGCAATCTTTTATTCAATCAGTGCACTGCACGAATAATTCTATTCGCGTTAACATTTTTACATGTACACCTCAACCTGCAATAATAAAGATGAAATTTAATTTTAAACAGTAATGAAAGCATTTCCGATTCCTTTACAAATATAGACTCCATTACAAATTTAGACTCTTTGTTGATAGGGATTAAATATTTTGTAATCAAAGCTTATTCAAATCTAAAAAATGGCGTTAAAACTGGTTTAAGTTATGCAAACTACACAATTCCATTGAAACATGCTTATATCATTCGAAAGTAATTTGTAAAAAAAATTAAACATTAAGTGAAGTAATTTTGGGATTTTAATTTCAATACAGGAGTGAGAACTACAAGTTTAGCTAGTTGACAACAAAATATTTTCCTTGATTTATTTTAAGTCAAAATGTTGATACGTATACTGCCCAAGAGATTAGAGAATAAAAGGAAATGCCACACAGAATCTTGTAACAATTAAAGTTTCTGAAAAAATTTAGTTTTCAATGCGGTATTTTAAACGTACATTAGTATAACAGGTAATAAAAAATTTTATCTTGCAACGAGAAATTAATATGAGGTAGTCTTGAGTTCTGAGGTAGTGAGTCTTCACATACAGTGTTGATACAAAATTACCAACCTAAGGTGAAATTGTTTATTAAGCTCTAGTGTTAGTTGCGAAATAAAGGGAGTCTCTTGTAACGTCATGAACAGACTCTGCTTTCTCTATACAATTATACTTGTTTGTTATTGGACACCTTTGCTTGATTAAAGGGACCTGCTGTATAGTTGCATTTGCTAAATATTCTGTTGACCTAAGTGTAAAATTAGTTTTCACGCTTTGGTTGAATATAGTCGGGGTAATGGAACAAAAAATTGAAATTTATTGTTATAACTATGACGAAATGTTATGGTTTGAACATTAATTATGTATACCGTATCTTGAAACCGATTTACGTAGCTAGTACAAAATACAGTTTGTAGTTTGTAAGCTCAATATACAATAGAAATGTGCCAACAATATCATTGTAACACAACATCAAATGATACAGGAGAAAGACTTTTGAAACACAGCAATGCAATGAAGTTTTATCATTCAGAGTTAAAATTAATAGAGAGACATTTAATAAACCCGTGGCTGATTCATTGGACAAAGCGGATATTATGATGAATTTATTGGTTTCAAGTGATGACATCAAGTGGACTTTATCAATCTCCCAAAGCCATAGATGTGTTTTGATGACGTTCGACCACTCTTTATTTGTCATCAGTTCGCATTTCAATTAAAAGAGTTCATTATCTTTTCTATCGTCCTTTTAAAAAGAGTAAGTCATTCTGTTTATAATGTATTTTAAAACAATTTGTTGTGGTTCGATCACAGATAGGTTAATAGTTTCGGGGAGAACTATCGTGATTTTTTTTACATTTTAATTCAAAAATGGCAAATGAGCAAAAGGTATGATTTAAAATATTGACATGTCATGTGTCATATGGTATAGCAAAAGTCAATTGTGCATTGATCAATTTATACTTATCAAAGTGTTACACTGACATTGAAGAAACGTACTGTACTTTTCTAACTGTATTGTTCTCAAAAGTGTTGCTGTATTCTTTTATCTAATTCTTTGAACATCAAAGTTCACTGTAAATCAAGTAAGCGGTAAATGAATTTGTAAACCACTAAAATATTCAATTTGAGTTGAAGTGAAACAATAAAAGTCACCATGCTTTTGTTTCTATGTGTGGATGTTGCGTTCGTGTACTTTTTTAAAGGATTATATCGCGGACAGTTTCCATCAATGATTAGTGAAGTTTAACAACGTGTTGAGATCTAGAAGCATGTGCTGTCTTCAGAAGGAAGAAACATAGAACTTATTCTAAATATTGTACAAAAAACTTCCTACGTCGGGAAGCACAACGCCCGAAAACTGTTGTTTAACCAATTCTTGCTTCTGTATTCAATACATTATTTTTCGAGTATTTTCACAGATCATTTTGAGGTTTGGCAATGGATCGTATAACATGAGTGTTTGTTGTTGGATTTCAGTGTCGCCAGAGGCCAGAGCTAGCCTATACCACCTGAGAGACTGTCTGAGAGGTAGGCCGGTTCAGGTGTGCAGGTGGCAGGTAGTGTCACAGAAAACGTACTACTATAACCCAGAATGCCAACCGCATGGTAAAAAGCATTAAGCGGTTTGAGAGAGCTTTGCCTGTCAATCCGTAGGCAGCGCCACCAGCGTTGCCATGCAATAGCCATCGTTGGCAATAGCATAGCTGGTGGCGCTGCCTACGGATTGACAGGCAAAGCTCTCTCAAACCGCTTAATGCTTTTTACCATGCGGTTGGCATTCTGGGTTATAGTAGTACGTTTTCTGTGGTAGTGTGGAGTGGTATGTGGTGTGCACTGTAGGCTGCAATGCCTCCTTCTTACACGCACCCTGCACTACATTTCCCATAAGCACCTCAAGGGGTAGTTTTGACTATGTTGTGGATATAAGTGGGATCTGTGGTGAAAAGGTGGTACATTTTGGTCACTGCACGTGGTTCTTCGTATTTTCGTATTTTTACACCGTAATTTGTACAGGTGCTGTATCCGGTCTTGGTTTTTGAGGGTTGGCGTCGACTTTTTTCATGTACAGTGCCTTTTCTAATATATTTCGATCTATTTTTACTGAACGATTAAGGATTTTTTATTTTGACTAAATATTTTTTGTCGTACCGTTTGATTATTCTATTTTCATGATTTTTTCAATGATGTGTTTTCAGACGATTAGTGTTGGTTCATATTGGACCACGTTATTTTATGTTTCTTAATATGTCCTAACGTATCCGCGAACGAATATTCTCATAAATATTTTTTTTGCAACCCCTACAAAGGAGACAGATGAATACTTCACACTATAAAATTGTTTACCCACAGTATGAGTCGAACTTAGGATATATTAACTACTACCAAATGTAGGCACATTATATCCGGGCTTTCAAAAACTTCACTTCGTATTTCAGTGCTGGCATAATGGAAATCCTTCAGCATTTAGACTAGTGTTAGCATTACATTTACAATCAATCAGTAAAAAGAGAACAATCCTTTAAACTAAAACTCAATACATATTTCGAGAATAATTTATATATTTTGTATATCTTTCATACACACTCTCTAAGACGCTAAACAACACTCATCAGGTTCATAATTTACCTTCAAACGTTGGTAGTACACCTCATCCTTGGTTTAAATGATGACATATGAATAATGCTTATAATTTTTCCGATTTATGTATTTTCTGTTGAAGTAGATATTTTAAAGGTTGAAATGTAAAAGTAATAACCAAGTTTTCTTAGCAACGTTTTTACGTTTTACCTTTTTTATTACTAACATTGATTTATTTTCTGAAGTCCTGATTGTTTTAAGATTGTCGTTTTTACTAAACCCGCTTTACTAAATTAAAAATGTCTTAAGCTTTATGTTGAAGGATATAATAAACACTCGCAAATGTCTCTCTGTTTTAATATCATGCAAAATATACATTTGTAGCCTCGGCAAAGTAGTTATTGCACATCAACTTATTGAAATTTCAAATCTGAAGTTTCTTGAGTTTGGATGACATAAGCACGGTAACTTTTGAAACAATATCAGTTTTATCAACTATACTTTGTTGACCAAGTGAACGTATATTTTAATATATTCTGACCTTTAATTCTGATTGGCTTAAGTCTTTTTCAACTAGGAGAAAAGAAAGCTCATTTTGAAGATGTGCTTCGATTGCAGTGTCTTGTCCCGAGAATGCAAAGTGACTTCAGAATCCAATTTAAACACTCGTGGAATAATGAAGAGCAGAGAAAAACTTTCAGGATCACTTCCGTACCTTAAACGAAACGTCAATGTGAATGATGAAATATATGTCCGCTAAAATATTTTTCTTCCCAGATCCACTGTCGGTAACTTCTGGAGATATGTATACACTTGTGCCGATTAAAAGATATAAAGGTATATCTCACTAGTATATCTCGTATATAAATTGCACGGAAGTATACCGTATACAGGCGAAGTATATTCTGTGAACAATATTAACTTTTTATACATAGTAATAGCAGCATATTTGAAATTTTTTTTTATATTTCGTTGAAAATAATATTCTGATTTGTGCAGTAGTTTACCTAATACCACTTTTTATACTAACCTTTGCAATTCAGTTCTTACAATTGAACGAATTCACTTAACAGTATTGTTTACTTACTAAACATAATTTTTTATAATACTTTAGAGTACAAGTTTGGACCAATGAGGTTCCAGGATTGAGAGAAAAGAAGTAAAATTGTAATGCTTCTAACATCAACTTATCAGCTGTTAAGGCCAATTTAATTGATTATACAATGAGTCGGGTTGGTACAATGGGTCGTTGCATCACAATCAGTGGCAGTGAGAGGTTATAAACGAGAACATAACATCTCTTAGACGTTATGAGTAGTGATTGTTTGTTTAAAAAAAACTGACGTAGGTAAAGTAGTGTACGCAACTCGCGTATTTTGCTGTTAACCCTCTCTTTACGTGGTTATTGGGTAAACTACTATTAAAATAAACCCCTATCAACAATTACTGTTTACAAAATTCTCTTGCCTCTAGGACGTAATTGTTATTCAAAGCTAATCTCAAAGAACGAGAATGCCTAATGGGGCGATTTGTTATTCAATAATTGAATCGTACTGCATAAAAATGAGAGCTAACTTAGTCGGTAGGTCATTAAAATGAAAAATGGTGCCGAATAACGAATGGGTTGGTCTTTCTGTTGCGAGGGCTTGACAAAGCTTCGATTAATCACTTGTTAAAGCTGGGCAAATCACGTGTTTCGGGTTTCATTTGCAAGTTTTACGTTGGTGTTTTTACTAGTTTTGATTTCATCCAAAATATTTGTCTTTGATAATGCTACTGTGTAAAATTACACTACTTCGAAAACGAACAGTTTCAGGATGCTTAAGATTACTAATTTTAGCTCAATTTTCTCTAAAGTTATAGTGAGAATCGGATTTTCTCGGGTAGTTATACATTTATCTCTTAGGAATTCATTTTGGGTTCGGTTTATACCACCTGAATGATCCTTTTAAAATGAATCATGGTGCATTAAAGAAATGCATAAATTTTTCATAAATAGTGAATATGTAGGGATGTTTTTTTACGGTGACGGAGAATGTTTTTCTTTAAATAAATAACTCATTAAGAGTATTGATCTTGTTAAATTCTACATCTTTCTTCTTCCACATCCAGACATTACTCAATTCATTAAAAAGATATACAATAGATCCTTGATGGTCAAATAAGCACCTACGTACAAGATAGAATTGCCTACGTTTAAATAAACTATCTAACGAAATTCCTGAATGTATGTATCCGAATAAAAGCAGTAGTAATGGTACAATAAATGACACAACAACCGTAACTTTTCCCCGAGTAAAGAACCTGGCTGCTGTTAAACTTTTTTAAGGTTCTCTAACTTTTTGTCACATCGTTTAGCTTGCAGGTGACAAATGAATACTGCAGTTAACTTTGCAAACGCTATTCCAGCCAGTGGCTGCGTGTACAGTATGTGAAGAATCGTGCTATTTATCATGTCGTTATTTTATTATACACTTAGATCCATCTTTACATCTTCTGTTATCAAAATGTATTAGGTTTCCTCATCTGAACTAGAGGGAAAACTGTTAATGTAAACGATGACTGTATAATAAGACGTCAGTCGGTAACATAGGGCTATTATTGGCGTCCAAATAACGTCTCTGCAATATTTACAAGTAACTATCAGATTCCCTGAGTGTTTGGCCGTTTGAATGGCCATTGTTTGATTTTATCACCAGTTTTATGTTGTTCATAATCATGTTTTAAATAAAATTATGTAGCTAGATAAACTAATTACCCAAAAAATAAAATTATCCTCGGATGATTCTCAAAGTGTTTATTTTTCCTCTTGTTCATATACACCGTCTATTTCTAACGTTTACAACCTTCTACCACATTTTCAAATTTGTTATTTATTCCAATATTTGACCACAGTTTCTTGTTTTCAGTTACCAAGCTGCGGGAGCACTGGGAAGAGACCAACTCGAAGGTGTTGCAGCGCAAAGCCGTGCTGGACGCCATGTTGACGGACTCTGAGCGGTACGAGGCCAAGAGACAGGAGGTGGAGGCTTGGCTGGCGAGGATGCAGGCGCGCAGGGAGAAGATGGGGCTGGTGGGAGACACGGCAGACGTGCTGGAGGTCCAACTGAGGGATCAGAAGGTGAGGTGTTTGTTGGTAAAAGTGGCTAGGTAATCTAACAACATCCAGTTGATTATAGTTTGAGTAAGTCTCCTAAGTTATGCCACAATCCGTTGAAGTCATGCACACTAGATCAGATCGTATCTGGATTTTGTCTCATCTACCGTCTAGTTTTGTTGACGGGAAGTCAACTCTTAGACCTTCTCAGCTATTTGTCATAACTAACGCCTATAGCAACAACACTGAAATTGTAAAGTTTAATTTTAGTGAAGGCGAGTTTGTGTTACTTCGAAAAATAGTTAAAGCAAACATCTTAATCGCATTTTTCCACTCACTCATGCCTTCCATTTTTTTTTGTAATAAAAAATGTCCGCAAAGATTTCTCAAATGGCACGTTCTAAGCTAAGTATTACAGGGTGTCCCGGAACTCTCTACCAATATTTTAGGGCATTGCTCCTGGGTAAGAAACATACCTAAATATCATATTTAAATTGTCCGGAAGTCCTTAGTTACTCACACAGCCGCCATTTTGTTTTTTTCAGTTATTAATTTTTTTTAAAGTATGGTTAAACATATAAAATGGAAACTATGCACAAACATTTATGACAGCTAGACAAAGCTACAAAAAAATTATGACGATTTTTCATATTCATAAAACAAAATGGCGGCCATTTAAAATTTTGTTTCTTAAATAGCTCAAAAACCGTTTATTTAAAAAAAAATTTAAATGGCCGCCATTTTGTTTAATGAATTTGAAAAATTGTCATAATTTTTTTGTAGCTTTGTCTAGTTGTCATAAATGTTTGTGCAAAGTTTCAATTTCATATGTTTAACCATTCTTTAGAAAAAAAATTAATAACTAAAAAAACAAAATGGCGGCTGTGTGAGTAACTAAGGACTTCCGGACAATTAAATATGATATTTAGGTATGTTTCTTACCCAGGAACAATGCCCTAAAATATTGGTAGAGAGTTCCGGGACACCCTGTATAAGCTTGACTACCACAGTTCATGTCAGGAGTACCCAGCATTTAGATGTCATGTGAAGTCTGACAATTGACTCAACAAATGTTGTTTACTACTGTGATTAGCAATAGACCTCTAGGAAAAGGAAAAGTTAACAATCTATGAAAAGTTTAATACTTTAAACTGATTAAATATAAACTTTTGCCGATCGTTATTTTAAACTCCATTGTAATATTTACTGAACGGAGAGGATTCTATGTTAGAAGTATTGGTTTAAAGTGATAACATTACGTGCCCTTTACCGGTCTTCCAAAGCTTTAGATGTGATTTATTGACATTAGACCACTCTTCTGACCTACGAGTGATTGAAGTTGCAACAAAAAGAAACTGTATTTCCCGTATATACTCTTATATAAGTGTATCCAACTTTACGTTCATCTAAAATAGAGTACGATAAAAGTATGAAATTTATTTATTATATAATAACGTGTTTCTTCTATCAAATAATATTTCTTAAACATCCTACTTTTAATGCTAAAAATACTTTTTCCAAGAACTTTCATTTCTTAATCCTCATTCCGAAATGGGACTCTTAAAAATATTTCTCTACTTATATACATTAAAAAAAAAATAGTTAAAATTAGTATTCTTTTTTTAGTTAAATAAATGATTTTACATTTCACCGTGTTTACTACATTAGTATAAAAAATATTGTTTACACCACGGACACATGTCGATATTAAACCCATATAAGTCCAGCCATATTGGGTCGGGGCTCTTTTATGAGGCCATCACATCATGGCCGCAATGTAGAACTAACCTTGTTTCCTTGAGAGCATGTTTCTATTTCTTCTCCATTTCTGAAAACAATAATCGTTTCTCTCTTTTAATCTTTTTAGAATTATAGCTTTCTTTGATAGGTAAAATATTATAAAAAGTCAGTGATACATCAAAGTATGTCTAAAATGTCGTTGAATAACTCTTAAAAGTTTCTTTTAACTTACGTAAAATGTTCTGTACGTGGTTCAAATAACACTGTGTTTAGTTTCTAATGTGTAATTGTCAATTGTCTTATTGAGCAATGCCAAATTAGGAAATTCTCTTCGCAATTCAGAAATAAGATGAATTATTTAAAATATCTAAAAAAATTTCAAATTCTTAAAATTTTACAACTCTAACTCTCTTAATAATAACTATGACTATTGTTAACTAACCAGTGTAATACTAGTGTCAAAACAACTTAATGCTGCTGGTGTGTTTAGATTACAGTACTGGGTGTAATAATCTAAAGTCGGATGATTTCATGGATATTTCATGATAAACTGATTTGTATTAGTTCTCGCCTGCCTGTTTCGGAAACAATCTACTTGGTAATCAGCACTCCAACACCTCGTCCAAACTTTAAGGGTGCTGCTCGTTGTCTTAAGATTTTGTTAAAATAGTAATATTCTATTGAATAATGATATTGTAACTTGGAAATGAGTTTGCTTTATCTTAATCATAATTATTATTTGTATATTATGCTTACTAGCTGCTGTAGCCGTGCTTCGAAACAGGAATATGTACTACACGCCTAATCCAAACACTTGTTAAGTTGTTTGAATTTATTAACAAAAGCCACTAATATTATACAAAAAAGTATAACCTAAATTGTAATTGTCCTACTGTTTACATGGAAATATATCAATAACATTATTTACATAACTTTAATAAATCGAAAGCAGAGCCTGGGTTGATACGGCAACGGTTATAGATTTTTTTCCATAATCAATTAAAAATCTTTGAATAAATAAACCTGCCACAAAATTGTGTAAAATATTATATTTAATTTCTTTGGATCAGCTGTCTGAAATAAATTGGGGATTAAAGCATTTAGTAGTTTAGCTTGTTTACATTGAAATGTCAACGCAAAGGTAAACATTGTGAATTGTCTAATGCTTTCATGGAGAACAATTTATTTACTTTTGAAATCCTCACCTCAAACCTTAGGACATCCAAGGGGCATAGGCTGAAAGAAACTCAGGTGAATATGCCTAAGGCTGAGCTTAATTTTGACTTTACCGGCTTAGTATTTTAGTCATGACAGCTGCCCAGACAGACACCACCTCAATTTTATAATAGTATAGATGGATTATATTTGTTCAACAGTATAATATTCAATTCGTGTGGATGGCAATAGTATATGGTCTAGGTGTTTCCTACTATATCACTGTTATATTGGACAGACAAAGTATTATTTTAAGTATTATAATTTTGAATATTGTTTCGGTTTGTTTTTTATTTTCACTTCCGAAACTGTTCCACCATTCAAATTGCTCATTCATTACAAGTTCGTTCGATTTTACTGTTTTTCCTTCTCACCATAGATATGTTTGTTGTGCAGGCGTACCACGCAGAGCTGCACCAATACAAACACCAGATCGAGTTGTTCAACCAGCTGACCCAGAAGTTGATTGCAGTGTATCAGGACGACGACACGAGCAGAATAAAGAAGATCACGGAGCAAATCAACCAGAGATACAACAATCTCAACTCGAGGTACGGATATAACAAGGCTCTGACTTATATAGATCTACTCTATAATGTACTCCTTTAACCTCAAAATAATTGTTGAGCTAGAATGCTAACACTAAATCTGGTTTTACCTTACCAGCGAATATTTCTTACAAGACTCTAAGACGTACATCACTTCGAAAAACATTTTTGTGTGTTAAGCGGGACCCAAAACAAATATATCCAATAAAAACTCAAAGTTTGATATTTTTACGAAAACAATACGTTCTCCATATGGTGGGAGAGAGTAAAAAGTGTTGATCATAACAAAAGGATAGCCCTCCCTATTTCTTTCTGAAGTAGTATGAATTTAATACAACCACAGATGTTTGTAGGTCTTAAAACAATATGGGGCACCTTATATATAAAATCAAATGTGTGCCTGTTAGGCCTTTATGCGTTACCAAATCGTCTATAAAACTGCCGTGAAACTTTGTATTGTTCTTTCTCTATATGTCTGGAAAGATCTCTATTACAAAATCTGTTATTGCTATGGCTCTTACGCCGGACATTCAAAGTTAAAAGTGTATTTTACGAGGATAATTCTATTGGTTTTCATAGATAGGGTGAGAAAATCATTATTATTTCGTTTGCATCGAGTACAATTCCAGTGACTTTCTAAAATCAGTCAGCATAATATGTAAACCGTAGAGTTTATTTCGTGTGGATTATAGAAATCTAGCTAAATTTCACTATCATTTTTAATCCGCTAGTAATTTTATAGCTCTAATGTACGGGTATAGATACTTTTAAAATATAAATAATGAAAAAAATAATACTAATCATTTTAATTTAAGGTGACAAGAAGACAAATAAGATTATAGTTGACTTAGTGAAGTAATTCGCGATTAACATGTAAAACAATGAATTCTACAAGCTTGATATTATTGTTTTCGGAAATACAGTTCTTGTAAGACAGATAACATGGAAGACAGAATGTGCCCTAAACTGAGCCAAATCAGGGCAAATGACAGTAATATTGTGGAAACGTTGTTTTATTCTCGGTCCATTATTTTCAACACAGCCACTCTCGCGGGACCAATAAACCCTCTCTTTGCTGTATTCAGAACAGCTACAGAGAAACCCTTTCATAAAAACATGAGTGTATCTATCTGTCTAGCTCTTGGATTAACTACCTTTGTATTGTTACTGTTGTACGGGCTGCACATACAACTTTGCTGTATTCAGAACAGCTACAGAGAAACCCTTTCATAAAAACATGAGTGTATCTATATGTCTAGCTCTTGGATTAACTACCTTTGTATTGTTACTGTTGTACGGGCTACACATACAACTTTGCTGTATTCAGAACAGCTACATAGAAACCCTTTCATAAAAACATGAGTGTATCTATCTGTCTAGCTCTTGGATTAACTACCTTTGTATTGTTACTGTTGTACGGGCTGCACATACAACTTTGCTGAATTCAGAACAGCTACAGAGAAACCCTTTCATAAAAACATGAGTGTATCTATCTGTCTAGCGCTTGGATTTACTACCTTTGTATTGTTACTGTTGTACGGGCTGCACATACAACTTTGCTGTATTCAGAACAGCTACAGAGAAACCCTTTCATAAAAACATGAGTGTATCTATCTGTCTAGCGCTTGGATTTACTACCTTTGTATTGTTACTGTTGTACGGGCTGCACATACAACTTTGCTGTATTCAGAACAGCTACAGAGAAACCCTTTCATAAAAACATGAGTGTATCTATCTGTCTAGCTCTTGGATTTACCACCTTTGTATTGTTACTGTTGTACGGGCTGCACATACAACTTTGCTGTATTCAGAACAGCTACAGAGAAACCCTTACATAAAAACATGAGTGTATCTATCTGTCTAGCTCTTGGATTAACTACCTTTGTATTGTTACTGTTGTACGGGCTGCACATACAACTTTACTGAATTCAGAACAGCTACAGAGAAACCCTTTCATAAAAACATGAGTGTATCTATCTGTCTAGCGCTTGGATTTACTACCTTTGTATTGTTACTGTTGTACGGGCTGCACATACAACTTTGCTGTATTCAGAACAGCTACAGAGAAACCCTTACATAAAAACATGAGTGTATCTATCTGTCTAGCTCTTGGATTAACTACCTTTGTATTGTTACAGTTGTACGGGCTGCACATACAACTTTGTTGTATTCAGAACAGCTACAGAGAAACCCTTTCATAAAAACATGAGTGTATCTATCTGTCTAGCTCTTGAATTTACTACCTTTGTATTGTTACTGTTGTACTGGCTGTACATACAACATTAACCTGGTTGTCAAAATTATGTTATTGTTTTACAATTGAAATAGTCTTATGGAATGGTAAACTCAGAGCAAATTGATAAAATAATGATTCTAATTATTCCAAAATAATAACCCCTTGTGTGCTTATGATAATCAAATTATATAGGTTACATAAACAAATATATTTCCCGAAATAGGTGTAGGGGACTGGGATATCAATATAACTAACTTATTTTGTTTGAGCTATTTTATTAGACTATTTTAGTTATGTTAATGGTGAAATATATGTTTACTTGGTTTACATAGTTCAGTTGTAAATACTAAAGGAGTTTAAGTTATGTTTCTTTAAAGATGTTTAAACTAATTGTTCTACCAACAGATCTTAAAGTGTCTAAAGTAGTAACTAACCTTTTACATTTTAATTGCACCTTTAGGTCCCAAATTCCAGGCGATATTGTAGCTTAAGGGCTTAAATATGGCGAACTACAAGCTACAATGATTCTTTTTTAAACACCCTGTACTGTATGTAATAAGAAAATACAATTTTTTTAAAGCTACGTCCAGCTTTGAAGAAACTGATAAATCCATCTTTGTTTTTTCGTTCTGTAAAATACAGGGTGGCTGAAAAGTAACTTGCACCCCCACTTAACTTTTCAATCATTTGAGATATTTGAAATCGGTTTGCGGCAACCTTCTTAGATATGAGGGGCTACAATAATTATGGTAAATTTTGAACATTTTGCCCTTAGGGGTAGCGAGGGTAGGGGGCAGCTCAAAATTTTCAAATGACAAGTATAGTCGAGTTTGGTATCATTTTACAGGTCTTGGCGAAACATGAACATTGACATAAAGAAAACCAAAATCGGCTCACTAATAACAAAATGGCGCCCTAAAACGTTTCAAATCCAAATAACCATGAGGGTGGCAAAAAAATTAACTTGCACCCTCTTTAACTTTTTAACTATTTGAGATATTTGAAATCGGTTTGCGGCAACTTCTTTGGAAATGAAGGGTTACAACAATTATGGTCAGTTTTCAATGAGCAAATAATTTTACTAATTTTTTTCAATAATCTTCCTAATGCTTTAAATAGATTGATCAATTCACAGGGTTTGTTGAAAAGCAACTTTTTTAGATACGCAAGGGGTTTAGTGGGGTAACATGATTATTTAATTTTATATACAGGGTGGCTGAAAAGTAACTTGCACCCCCACTTAACTTTTCAACCATTTGAGATATTTGAAATCGGTTTGCGGCAACCTTCTTAGATATGAGGGTCTACAATAATTATGGTAAATTTTGAAAATTTTGCTCTTAGGGTTAGCGGGGGTAGAGGGTAGCTCAAAATTTTCAAATAGCAGCTATAGTCGAGTTTGGTATCATTTTGTAGGTCTTGAAGAAACATAACAATTAACATAAAGAAAATAGAAATCGGACCATTGATAACAAAATGGCAGCTCAAAATTACTTTAAATAACCATTGTCTCAATCATTTTTAGCTGCCATTTTGTTATTAATGGCCCCTACCCCCGCTACCCCTAAGGGCAAAATTTTCAAAATTTACCATAATTATTGTAGCCCCTCATATCTAAGAAGGTTGCCGCAAACCGATTTCAAATATCTCAAATGGTTGAAAAGTTAAGTGGGGGTGCAAGTTACTTTTCAGCCACCCTGTATATAAAATTAAATAATCATGTTACCCCACTAAACCCCATGCGTATCTAAAAAAGTTGCTTTTCAACAAACCCTGTGAATTGATCAATCTATTTAAAGCATTAGGAAAATTACTAAAAAAAAATTAGTAAAATTATTTGCTCATTGATTACACAGTGTCTTTATTTCTTCGCTCAAACAATCATACGCTTAGTGTTTTAGCAAATTATTCAATCCCAAGTAAAAAAAATAACTTGTTATTTTAATATGAGGGTATTTGAGTCGGATGGACCATTACGTGTTTTTCATACATAAAATGTTTAGTAACAAATCTTATCACACAACCAAACGTACTTAGTAAGTTTTGACATGGAAGCATCAAAGTTTGCTCAAATTGCCATTACCGAGGTTACACAAACTAAGTTACTGTATAATGAACTTACAGTTAACTTGCTATCACCAAAGCTCTTCAATGTAGTTTTTAGCTTCAACAAATCCCAACAGAATAATAATTGCGAAAGTTTTGTTTTTTATTTGTTCATTACCAAAACACTATTCTACAGTTCTGAAAGCTCCCTATTATTTGATAAAATCTCAAAAAGCATGTCTTATGAATGTTACACCATAATTTATTTTATAAACTTTACATTTAGTCCAAATTATTTATGTACAGAATCAATTTTCAAATAAGTATCCGTGTTTTTGTACAATTTAAGTTCATTTCGTTTAGTATTGTTGCCAATCAGAAAGAAACATTGGTACTTTATTTTTATCCCAAATGATTTATAGACCTTGAATAAATACCCACAATTATCACCGCTTTTTTTCATAATAAAGAATATACTTCGTATAAATTCATTCTGGTTTTACTGTAAGATACACTTGGAAGGTTTTTCTAAGAAGAAGCAGTTTAGAGATTGGCACAGCCACATTAACTGAATTACCTGTGTTAGGCGAGCGGGACAATTAATTTAGAGCCAATTGTGAGCGGAGGTAAGCATCTTGGCAGAAATTGTCTTTCCAATTAAACTCTCCTCTATTGAGAAGAGTTTTATTGTGATTGTTATATTTTTGCATTGTGACAAGAGTTTGTAAGATATGTTCTTCTTTTTTTTTTAATACTTTGTTTTGGTTTGTAATGCATACTAAATAGCCATAAAGTATAAAAACAATGTTGACTATAACAGTAGTCAAAGGTGTTTACTGTTAAGGTAAAGTAAAGGTTTATTTTCTATGTGTAATCTTCGATTTACATCAATTCAAGTCAGTAATAATTTTGTAAATACACAATATTTTTCAAAAGCTTAATTAAACGTTCGTTTTTGAGTTTTAGAAGGGAAAGATTCTTAGTTTATCTTCTTTATTGGAGATATATTTGGTATATAATTAGTATTTTTATATGCGATGGACCAATAATTAACTAACACAATTCACAAAGTGTATGTTTTGCATCAGATTGCTTTACATGTCCATTAATTACGGATCTCACTTAAGTCATACGACTAACACAACGCAACGCATAACGCAATAGTAGTTTACGCAACGATTGCGTTAAGTGAGTCTTTACGACACGAGTAGAAAATTTAAGGCACGAGCCTTGGCGAGTGCTTTAAAAACTTCTACGAGTGTCGTAAAGACTATTAACGCGAGTTGCGTACACTACTTTACCTACGACCGTTTTTTAATTACTATCAATCTGGATTTAATTACTAACAATCACTAATGATAACTTTTTAGAGAGGTTATGTTTTCGTGTATTGTCATTGCCACTGAAAGTGATGCAACGACTTGTTGTATAATCAGCTGATTTCCTGTAATTACGTGTTTGTTAAACTTCGTTAAATATTACATTGCTAGCAGCATTCTTACCCTAAATAATATTGTATCAGGTACAATTCGGCAAATATTTCATTTATTTTTGGACTTCCACCAACTTAATTAAGAATACGCGAGTATCAACATGAACAAGTCGGATCAACAATTAAATTGGTCAACTGATCAGCTGATCAGCTGATTAGTTGACGTTCGAAACATTACAATTTTAATTCTTTTCTCTTAATACTTGAACCTCATTGGTCCGTTACCTGTGTGGATATGAGAAAACTATGCGGATATGAAAGTAAACAGCTGTAAAGTGAAACTTTTCAATTCTAAGAACTGGACTGAAATGGCTACTTTAAAAAACGGTCGTAGGTAAAATAGTTTTTACCATTAGTCCGATGATCATTTCAGAAAGAAGTATATTTTTTCAACACGCAGTATCTTGTCACATATACACACTGTGAATTCACTATTATGTGCATTATTGTATCAGATGAGAGGGTATTGAACCTATGAGTATAATCCTTAGCTGTGCTGAGCATGGCGGGGATCACATACAGCCGATCACTGCACGATTAACATGTAAATCCGCTAGAGGAACATTGCAACCTAGTTTCACACTCATGAGGAAAGCTTTTCGTTGGGTACTGCCCCATCTCTGACAAAAACTGCCCTTCTTAAGGATATCCAAGAAATTAAACTGTAATCAATTTATTTAAAACATTTTATATCTTAAAATGATAAAGAGACGTATTAGTTTTTATTTTAAAAGCGATGAGTATTTTTAACATCATGCAGAAAATTGTAAAGGGATTAAATAAGTAAATCTCATATAAATTGCCAACTTGAATGGAACATAAACCTATTTCTTTTAAGGATTAAACTTTTCATGGACTCTTCACTATTTTTGTACTGGTTCAATTATTGGTGTTTTCGCTGTTGAAACAAAGAGTAGATTTTATCCACTTATTCACTTGAAACTTCGGGGGTTGTTAACCTAGTGGAAAGTGTCTCGGACTTTGATGCGATAGAATCGGGTACGTTTCCCTACTAATACATAAAGATTTTAGGGATGTGCTGCACTTTTCCTAGACACACACTCAATACTGGCTGTCCACATCCCTTAGATAAACTGTGACACCTGTTTTAACGTAATTTTATATTCTTGGAAAACCTCGCTACAACGTCAGTGATTGTTTCAGTATCGTGTTGCGCGGCAAGTTGCTCAACTCGGCGCTCAACTCGCTGCACAACTTCGACAGATCGCTGGACAAGTTCCTCGCGTGGCTGTCTGAGGCGGAGAGCTCACTGGAGTCGGTGGAGGTGGAGGCCGACAGGGCTGGAGGCAGGAGAGACGAGGCGGTCACTAGACAGTTCACCAAACAACTCAAGGTAGGTGCCTTCCAACTACAATCACCAATCGAGAATAGCACGGGACTCTCGGCGTGGAGTCACGGGTTGGAATACCGCCAGTCACTAACAAATGTTTATTATGTGATGCAACTTCGGCTTCGCCTCGATCGTAAAACTTGACTTCGGGTCAAAAAGAGTTACTTTAGGCCCTAGTGATGAAATATACTATTCCAGGTTAGGGTTATGTTTGATCGATAAGGGTCCTACAGAAAAATCTGGGAAGATGCCACGAATGCATTGCGATAATAAAACGAAACATGGCAAATAGGTGTCATAACTTCAACACTTGTTTGGTGCAAAAACCAAACATGTATTTTTCCGGCTCTTCATGAGGGTCTCAATTATGATCAAACATAGTTGCTTCAAAATTTTGATTATTTGATAGAGTGAGTTTGGACGCATTATCGACAATGGTTTGGTAAAAAAAATCTCAGTTACTTATGCTTTCGTGGAAAATCATATGTTTCAGAGAGCGATGGAATTTCTCTCCTAATTAATTACTTCGTACTTTATTTTAGCTACATTTTCTGTTATTAAATTGCAAACCTGAGTGAAACATCGTCAGATTTATCAAAGGCAAAGGAATGTTCAGTAATCTCTTAACTCAAAGTTTTGGCTCTTCATAGTTTACAAAGTCACAGTGAAGTTTTGGCTACACACAACTTTATCTATTTATTTAATCTTCAAAATTGCTCCAGAGAGTTCTTACACTGATTCATCTTGGATAAGATGGAAAATGTGTTCAATGGCGTGTTTTAGATGGTATAACATACAAAACATTGCAAATTGAACGTATAAATACATTATTTTGAACCGTTACCAAACAATTTTTCTTATTTAGCTAAGATAATTGAGTGTTTCAAAACTATGGAGAATCATTAGATTGTATTATAAATACAATATCCCATGATAAATCGTGTAGAACAAAGTGTATTTACGCTTGGTGAAAAATTACTTTTCAAAAATAAATCATTACAAATTTCACTCTGCAACTAGCCTGTTCGTTTATTTAGTTTGAATCTCTAATGATTTCATGTTCTGTTTACTATAAAAAATAGCAAAACACGACGTTTGTATTACAATGTAAAATCTCACAAAAAATATTAGAATATTATAAAAGAAAAACATTATGTTTTTTGTACAATTAAAATGCGGGAAGCATTTCTTAGTTCGTTTTAATAAAACGCCGACACAGAAGGATCTGGGATTTATAGGGAAATTTTACCAAGGAACCACAGTTTAAACCTCCCCGTTTCCCCCTTTTAACCCCTCCCTCAACTTCCAATCATTCCATTGTCTTCCCCTAAGCTCATTTACAACTGTCAACTATTGTTTCAATTGAATCCGATCTTTTACACTCAGACACCAACAACCAGGCTTTGTCAACTTTGTTTTGTGAAAGTTCTATCACTTTACGCTCACCTTGACTAAACAAGGTGATTTAATTATAAAAGCTATTATTGGGTCTGGTCCAACGATTTCAGTTTATTAATTTACTATTCAAATCAATGTAGTCGTATGATAAGAATTGCCATAAAGATTTTGTTTTTATTTTTTTAATTTGTTTTATAATAAATACCTGGATTTTACTTATAAATAGCATTAATAATACATTTTCTACTTTTGAACTTAAAAGTTTTTATCACATAGCAATTTCAAGAAATGAAATTGTAACTGGTTACATTAGGCTATATAATTTATTTGTGAAATAACATTTGTGAAATAATTTGATTTTGTCTACTTTAAAAGTCTCTAAAACTAGCCTATTATCAATAATTCGTTAACGATTCGTATAATCATTTGAACACCTGTTGTAACAAAATTTAATATTTTAAAAATAAATTTACTTGTAATAATTTTAGCTTTAGTTCAAACTTTTCCCATCAGTTTCAGAAAATGTGATGTTTTCTAAGACACTTCATCGATCTTAAAAATGTTCATTGAACCGCTTTAAACCCCTATAAAAAAGTAAATTTTCTCTTTCAAATCCAAGAAGCTGGTGAAGGCAATGAAAAATTTATTTTAAATTGGTAGTTTTATTGAAAACTAATATACGAAAACCCCCTTTCAATCAATCACAGCCCAGCTATTTCTTACAGTTATTATATTGATATTATTATATCTCTATAAATAAGTATTTTATGTAGTTATAAACACATACTGTACATGTAATGTGTTAAGTGCGACCCCTTCTTCTTCTCTTTATCACTTGCACTGGATCACCCCCCCCCCCCTCTCCTGCCGTTGTCTCTTCTCTAAGCTCATTTACAACTGTCGCTTTACTTTACTTAAATCCGATCTTTTCTGTAAACATTGACACTTCTGAAAATACAGTTACAGTTTTTGCAAATATATAATGTATTACATATTACATTAGAAATAGTGGTACTAAGTTTTTGTAACCTCAAATTTGCCACTGACGATGCGAATTTAATTTTTTTCGTCACATGTGATACATTTGTTGTGTTTCATCACATTACTATCCGGATTTCATCAACGTTGAAGTTGATTTATTTATAATTATTACGTCTACTTAAGTTCTTTTAATTTTACCAACATACTCCTACCTAAATATCAAATATAATTGGCAGTTCAATTTCAGCCTACACCATTAACAATCAACACTATTTAAAAAACAGTTTCTGCAATATAAAAATATAAAGTCAAAATGTCTTAGAATTCCATTGGTATTCATACAAAATTTTGCTTTGCAAACATAGGACTTTACATGATAAATTTGGCATTCACATTTCTTTATCAATGGGATTTTAAAGTGTATGGAGCAAAAATTACACAAAAAAATAATTTTTCAAGTCTTGCTATAAATATTATATTTCTGTCGTGGTTGGTGGTGTTCTAGAGCTTTACACTAACAGGTAGCTTATACATTATTCACACCGTAGAATTGGGTTTATCTCTTTATAAATTCTCTTTATGAATAACAGATAAACTCCTTAAAATGTTTCGTTAACATCATAGTAGGAACACTCCTATCATAAAATACCCCCGCCGCAGCAAACCTGCCGACTAAGCGAATTTCCTTGTCTGAATTGATATTCAGTTAAATATATTTTAATAATATTAGGTTTAACGAGTACCTAGGTTTGCTGCTACAAGGAAACTAATAAAGTGTGTTTTTGAGTAAAATATTGATAGCTTAGTACAAAATAAATAAATTTGCCAAGTTTGATCAAAATATATCCATAAACAAGCAAACTACAACATTTGACAATATTCTCCATAAGAATAACATGGGAATTTTAAATTTACAATTTTTTTAATTTTCTCCGTTACTAGTAATCGAAGAAAAATACTTTTATATACTAATTTATTTGTTTTTTTAAGCTCTTTAAAAAGGTCTAAAGAGAAATCGGGAAATTTTGTGTTTTGAGGGTCAAAAGTGAGAAAAACCAATTTTTACCCCATAAAACCCCCCGTAAAGCCCCGTTCCCATGGTCCGATCGTGCTGGTTCGCGAACTCATTCAAGTTTATCCCGCTTTACACCTTTAAACCAAATTTCATCAAAATCGGACAAAAATTACTCAAGTTATCGCGTTCACGTTATATATATGTTTATATATGTTTTTATACATATATAAAAATTTGAACGAATGGTGTTTTTGGCCTCTGGGGACATCAAAATGAAAAAGTAAATCGGTCCCGGGTCTAGGTCTTACCGTGCCACCTACGGTAATAGCTACTTCCCTATAGGGAAATTCGCTAAAATAATACAATCAAATGCAATACATGTAACATAATGTGAGTGTTTTTGCTATTAATTAAATCATTAATTTAACATGAATAATTATTAAGTTATTAAAATGTTTAACGTTCTTTTGGACATCTTAATATGTTTATAATACGTTTAAAATAACCCACAAAGAGTTTAAACATTTTTTAAATATTCAGACAGTTAAAAGTGGATACAAAAATAATTTAATAATGCCGGTGAATATTAAATTTTGAAAATTCAGTGAAATGGACTCGTTTCCCAATCAAGTATATGTTATCATTGACTTTATATCTCTACACGTGTAGAGATATAAAGTCAATGATGTTATCAAGTAGTGTAGTGAGTTAGACAGAGACTGGCTAGTTGTCTGGAGGGAGCAACAGACGAACATCAGGTCCTATTACCCTTGTGCTTCTTTAGTTTAACGCTGGTTGCGTCTCTACTACGTAATCCCGACCAGGTGCAGGTCCAATCAAGTGTATGTTATCAAGACAGAACATAAGTGTGTAGCGTAGTGAGTGAGACAGAGAGTGGCTAGTTGTCTGGAGGGAGCAACAGACGAACATCAGGTCCTATTACCCTTGTGCTTCATTAGTTTAACGTTGGTTGTGTCTCTACTACGTAATCCCGACCAGGTGCAGGTCCAATCAAGTGTATGTTATCAAGTCAGAACATAAGTGTAGTGTAGTGAGTTAGACAGAGAGTGGCTAGTTGTCTGGAGGGAGCAACAGACGAACATCAGATCCTATTACCCTTGTGCTTCATTAGTTTAACGCTGGTTGCGTCTCTACTACGTAATCCCGACCAGGTGCAGGTCCAATCAAGTGTATGTTATCAAGTCAGAACATAAGTGTAGCGTAGTGAGTTAGACAGAGAGTGGCTAGTTGTCTGGAGGGAGCAACAGACGAACATCAGATCCTATTACCCTTGTGCTTCATTAGTTTAACGCTGGTTGCGTCTCTACTACGTAATCCCGACCAGGTGCAGGTCCAATCAAGTGTATGTTATCAAGACAGAACATAAGTGTGTAGCGTAGTGAGTGAGACAGAGAGTGGCTAGTTGTCTGGAGGGAGCAACAGACGAACATCAGGTCCTATTACCCTTGTGCTTCTTTAGTTTAACACTGGTTATGTCTCTACTACGTAATCCCGACCAGGTGCAGGTCCAATCAAGTGTATGTTATCAAGACAGAACATAAGTGTGTAGTGTAGTGAGTTAGACAGAGACTGGCTAGTTGTCTGGAGG